ATTTTGTATTTAACAACGCACCTTTGTGGGAATATCCACTTTCAATTCATTTTTGCGATAAATCATTTTGAAACTAGTCTACTTTTTCGGAAGTGAAATATCTAGATGAATATTTTTCAAGTCGTTATTTTCAACTGAAACCAATGAAATACAAACATCGAATGAAATGAGAGTAAAAAAAAATATTCATCCATTTCTCTTGGGATGCATATATTGCCACGTTACGCAAACCCCACTACGTTACGCAAACCCCACCACGTTACGCAAACCCCACCACGTTTGAACTCTTCTTATGCAGATTCCCAAACTGAGTCATTACATGTAAAAACTCTTTTCCAAAAAAATCATGAATTTTATTTATTTAATACGTAATTCATAAAATACAGAATGCTTGCGTCAATCTTTTTTATTTCGTGAAAAAAGTGTATAAATAGAAGCGATATTCACAACAGGAAAGAATTACTTCTGGATTGTATATTGAGATGAAAATTTTTGTGGTTTTATTGCGCCTTGGTTTCAGTTATAACAATTAAATATGAAATCAAACACAGATATCAATATTAATGAAATAATTGAAAAGGTTAAAAATAAAACGTTTAATCGATATGACATGTATTGTGTCCACCTTGTGTAGAAGGTGCTAATACAGTTTTGGATTTGCTTTAATGTTCTGCTTATATTTGGTAAGTCGACCCTTTTGATTTGCGTATTACATTCATTTCACGCATGTACTATAAGTGTATGATGTCAGTTTTGATCAGAAGACCGATCACCAAACCAATCATTAATATACTTAAATTCAGATATTGGTTCCATTTGGCTACTTGCAGCTCTTTGGCGTTATGGTCAGGCTTTTGTTCCTCTTCCGAAATGAGATGACCACAAAGGCGATAGGAAAGTACCCAGCAGAATGTCTACGAAAAAATATTCATTACAATACAAATTGAGATCTTTTGGTTTATTACTAGAGGAGTCGAATTTATTCGATATTCGATTATTTTGTGTTAATGATGTTCACTTGACGTACATGAATAAAAAAGACGGTGCCGGCAAAATATCTTAAAGTACGATTATTTTCAACTAAATGGCCCAATATCCAGTGCCATGCTAATCCTTTTTGGTTGATGTAGCCTGCTGTTACAAGTTGTAGAAAGATCATGGTATTTTGCATATTTATAGCCTGAAAAAATGTTGAGCCATAATGAAAAAGGAGGATTTTATGCATATTTTTAATTTACATACAATCGCTGCTATGCCTAAATCTCTGTCACACACAGCACTGTAGCTACAGTATGCGACCACAATAGAAGTTAGACCAAATATCACAACCGAAAATGAAATGGCGAATGCCGATAGTTCAATCACTGTAAGTATAACAACACATGTGTAAATAAATCATATTTTTGAGCACATTTTTTCATGAAATAGTCCTACTGTTAAGATATTGATAATAATGACAAATTTTGGCAAGATTGCAAAGTCCAACTATGACAAGTATACAGTCAGTCATCTGAAATGTAGAAATTATTTGAATTTAAGCAAAGAATTTGTAATTTCACATAAATTAATTTCTAATCTCACTCGAAACAAAGCCTCTAATCAAGATTTCATGAAACTTACAGCA